CTCGGAAGCCAAGGTAAGCGCGGCGCGCCCCGCGCGAAGGCGCCCTGGGAGGTGCGGACCCGCACCGGCTGCTGGACGGGCCGCGTGTCCCGTGCGCACCCGGGTGTCGCGGGCTGTTGGGGGCTCCGCGCCAGGAAGGAGGGTCCGGGTGACAACATCAGGAAGCCCGGGCCCTCGGGGCTTCCCTAGCCCCAGCGCCTAGGCTGGAGGGGGTCGGGAGTGAGTATTTTGGTTGCACACCCCGGCTCAGTTTCGGGGAGCACGGCTGTACCAAGGGGGTCGCGTCCTCCCCGCTTGCTGCCTCCGCTCGCACTCGGTGCGCAGCTTCCAGTCACCTGGAAGAGGGAGTCTCCCACTGTGCCGGCAGGGCTCTGGACCTCTCTCTCCACGCCCTCCTTCCGCATCCGACGGCTCAGGAGAGTGGTGACCTGGGCGGCCAGGCGGACGCCCTGTGGGTCCGGGTCTAGCCTTTCGGGCTAACTCAAGGGATCGGAGCTGCAGCAAGTCGGAGAGGTTCTGTGTCTGGAAAGGAGGTGTTGACTCAGTCTAGGAACTAAGGGGGCGCGCCCCGGTCTTTGAACTTTTGATCTGCAAAAGGGTTGTTTCAATCTGAAGCAGGAGGGCAAGAAACCGCAGAAGGGAGGAGAAACCGTGGTGCGGATTTAGTCTCTGCTCCAGACAGGAGTCGTTTGTTCCGAATAGGGAGTCTCGGGGTGTGTGTGTGTGTGTGAGTGTGTGCGCGCGCGCCAGATGCTTGCTCAGGAGCTGTTCCTGCAAAGGTTCTAGGTTTGCCGGACTGTGGGCCTCATTGGTTCCAGGGATGCCACTTACAGTGTCGGGAAGTGTGCTGGGGAGAGTCCTGTTGGCATCTCCTTTTTATTCCATGAGATCTTCCCAGCCCTCTGCACTTCCGCCTTTTTCTCTTCCCTCCTTTCTGCCTCAGCCAGGCCGCAAGCAGGTTATGGTCACTTCACAGAAGTTTATAGCCAATTACAGCCGCATACATCAGAGCAGCCGTCGGGGGCTGTCTCTGGGCATCGGTTTCTGTGTCACTGGGCACAGGCCAGGATCGTTCGGTGGGAAATGTGGCCGCCCAGGGAGAAGCCACAGGACCGGCCTGGAGGCTTGGTTCCTTCCCCTGGAGGGGGCGCCCTG